TAAAGCACTGCAATGTGGGGACCAGCTGATGGCATAATGGTTACGTCATTGAACTCCCCCATGGTCAGCCATGGCTCCGTTTTGGACCTGGTGGCTTGAAACTCATGCCAGGCACATGTGCGTGTGTGTGCGCAAGATCCCAGGAAGAGAATGGGGGAGATGAGATTGTGGTTCATCCATCTACCCAGGGGAGGGTGGTTTCTCACTTTCCCTCTCACTGTCTCTGTCTCTCTCTGGCAAGCACATGGGTCCTATGGCAAAAGGCCCTTTAAAAAAAAACTGCAATGTGAAGAAATGTCATTGACTCATGCCTGATAGGAAAAGGAAAAAGTAAAAATAAGTCAACATTTACCAGAGATTAAAGAATTCACTATTTGAAAACTTCATTTAGCATGTGGTACAAGTGGATTAAAGCATAACTTGGATTTGACTTAAATTTTCCATCCATTCCCTTTATTCCTCTCCCTTTTCTTTCTTTTCTTTTTCTTTTTTCTTTTTTCTCTTTTGGGAACTGTCTTTGGCCTGTGTATGGCTGGTCCATGCTGGCCCTAGAGGTCATAGCTGTGATGTCAAAAAACCAGTTCATCCTCCTGGAGCCAACTCTCTGGTGATTTCCTGAGATCCCTGCACTGACAGCGCACTACAGGTTGTGGAAGGACACACCTGGCAAAAGCAGGACACGGGGAAGGCAGCCTCAAGAGGCAGACTCTGTGCATAAATACTGCTGAGGGAGCAGCCTGCCAGGAGCCTACCTTCACTAGTATGGGCTCAAGTGCCATTTCTAGAGAGAAGTGAGCGGAATGGGGAGGGAACAGGGGAGCACAATGCTCATCTGCCTGGTAAGAAACTGGAGCACAACACAGTGCTCACTTTCAAACGGCTTTAACCTGGAATTACCTGATTAGCAAACAAAGACTGGAATATCAAAGGATAAGATACCAGGAAAGGCAAAAAGTCACACAGTTATATATTTTTCTTTTGTTTATTTTTTCCTGCATGTTGAAAGAAACCATGCTTAGAATACTAACCCCTAAAACTAAACCTGAACTGTCTTTAAAATCACTGAGATGTGAAAGAGGCAACGATACAGAGAGGCATACAAGATTTTTCTTATTAGTTCATCTTTTTGCCTAAGAAACTATGGTTCGGGTGAGATTATTCAAATAGGGTAAAAATCATTATTTTTGCAGAAAGAATCCCTGGAGTGGAGTGGTTAGCTATGTAAGCGTTAAGAGAATTGAATCATGCCTGATACAGTGGGCATAAAGTATGCTCTCCTAATTTTTTCCGTTTATTTACAATGCAATATTGAGTGGTTGAATATTTTCCCCTTTCTATTAGAGGGAAAAACATATATGCTACTATAATTTTAGGAAGATAGTAGTTGGGGAAAAAAATTACGTAATTTCTTTTTTTAATTACAATTCTGAGATTCCATATTTTCTAAATCACTATTTCAGAGTCCTTGTGTCTGTTTCATTGGTCCGTAATCCTTGCTCTTAAAGAACTGAGATTGGATAAAAATACTATGCAATTTTGCTAATTTCCTGAATTGTTAGAATTTCTTTCTTTCTACCTCCTGAGAGAAATTCCAAACTTTTGCTCTACTTTCTTCAGGTAAGTGTTTCCATGATTATAACTAAGTTATTGTTGTTAATGTGCAGAGAAATGTTATTGGTAAAGAAAGAAAAAGGCACAATAACAATGTCTCATGATGTAAGTGAGATGCCCTAGAGGTTTTACCTTTATTTTACTAAAAATTGCCGCCCACATAATTTTTGGAAGTGGCTCTCCAAAGGAAAGGAATTTTTGTTCTGTTACGTTTTTTATATAGCAAACAAAACCCCAATTCTATTTAATTTCATAACAATTTTTTTTTTTGGAGAGATTTTCACTGTAGGGTGCGTGCGCTCGCCAGACAGACAGAGAGAGACACAGAGACAGAAAGCGAGAAATCACCCCCCAGGGGGGATGGTCACGCCGCAATCCCTTCTCCTCCATTCTCCTCTCGGGATCTTGGGCACGCACGCACACGCGCCTGGCGTGAGTTTTAAGCCACCGGGTCTGGGACACGAACCGTGGTCGACTACGTGGGAGTCCAGCGACATAGCCATTACGCTAACTGCTGGTTCCCATAACAATTTTTTTTAACAAAGCAGCAGACCAGCATTCATATTTGCTTTTGATTACTTGTTTTGTAATTTTTGCTTGAGAGTGTATGATGGGGTTCAAAATTATTCTTATCTTTTTTATCACCTTAATCATTATTTCATGTAAAAAATTTTAAAAATGGATTTGTATTTTTCACTCTCGTTGTCTTAATCTAACCAGTAAATGTTTGAATATTTCCTTACCACATGCAGCTATGCAATAAGAATATGAGAGAATACTATTAATTTCTAAAAGTTGTAGTATTTAATGTTTTCCAAATTAGTAAATAAATGAAATTCTCATTACAAACCTTGGAGGTTAAATTATATGAATTCTATTAGAGGTTAGATTTTCAAAAGTAAAATTTAAAACTTCAAAAACTGCAATGAAGTGTTGAATAGAGTAATATATGGTATGGAAAATGCTTTGTTTAAATATAGTGGTAAGTGCTTCAGTAATTATGTGATAATTGTTAGTTATCTTTAAAGATAATTTTAAAATAAGTGAAAAAACACACTAGAAATTTTAAAATATAAGAACAAAGAAGACAAAAGTTAGGATGAAGTTGATTTTCTAAACAAGATAATGAAGTTCCAGGTTTAATTATTTTTGTCTTTTATAGCTCAGGAACCGAAGTATTAGTAATCAAGTAATTTATGCTGTCTGTTCGGATTGATAGACAAACTTCATAAAAACACCTGGTAAGTCTTTTTTTGTTCTTTTTACATTTCACTTCCCTATGGTTTGGCTTCTCATGTTCAACTGAATTGCATAATATTTAGATGATTAGTGTAACAATAAAAATGGAAAAATGTTCTTCTGATAATTATATATATATAATTATATATATATTTATACTTTATTTCAATTTCTTTTATACATTCATTCACATATGTCACTTAGTTTGCAAAGTGAGTATTCCAACACATAAACATTTTCACCAATCCAGTTGAGACTACTATACACATTATTGTCAACAGATAATAACCCCTTTCTTTTTCCCATAAACACCTTACCTCTTTATTTTTCTCTTTAATGTCCTTCCTCAGACTCTCCTCCACCCACCCTCTTCCCACACTGTATCTGGTATTTATAACCATTTTTTATAGTTCTATGTCCTCTAGTCATTCAGTTTTGGCAATAGAGTGCAACAGTTGGTATAAATTAAGTGGAGACATACAATGTATCTCCTTCATAGCCTGGCTTGCTTCACTCAGCAGTAAATCTTCCATATTTACCACATTCTGCCAAAAGCCACAGTCTTATTTTTTTTTAGGCCGAGTAGTATTCCATATAGTATATGTGCCACTTTTTTTTTTTTTTTCAATCCATTCATCTGTTTGTGGGCACTTGAGCTGGTTCCATGTCTTAGCAATTGTGAATAATGCCACAATAAATATCAGTGTGCAAGCACTTTTCAAGATAAGGATTCTTCTGTCCTTTGCATAGATACCAAGGGGTGGGATTGCTGGATCATATGGTAGTTTTATTTGTAAATCTTTGAGGGATCTCCATATGAGAAATTAAATTACTATATCCAAGGCAAATATAATGTGCCATAATGTAATGATTTCAAATAATACACAGGCTATGGAATAATTGCTGAGCTATTGTTGCTAATAATATAAATATTAATTTCAAAAGTGCTTGTATTTCCTTAATGTCTTCTTCAAGTAAATTTGGTGAGAAGGCACTTATGAGTTTGTTTTTCCTAACAGACTGGTGTGTTTTAGTCCTATTCCCAGGCCAAAGTTCACTTGTCCATCCGAGCTTTAGACCTCACAAATCTTGCCATTGATCTTCAAATTACAATTCCACTCCCAGCACTGGAAATACAAATACTCTGGAGGAGACAGTTTCATTATTTTCACGATATAGGGGCAACAGGATAAATAATACAAAATGACAGATGAAACAATGAGCACTCTAAACATGACATTTATTATCAACACTATTCTTGAACACTGTGGACAAGAGCATCTGAACATAAATTGAATTTGTAAATTTAGCCACTAAAGGAAGGGCAATAATCTACAAGATTATATAGACTCCCTCATTGGAAGTACTCATTCTTTTTTTTTTCTTTCTTGAGATTATTCATGGCTAATCTTATAATCTTTGTTATATTTTTAGTTTGTCATCATACCGCTCTTAATTCTAAAACTATATTCTTTACATTGAAGAAAGAAGTCTTTCCTTAATTGAATAATGTGAAACAAATGACAGGATTCAAAGCTTTTGCAAATGCCCAGAGAACTTTTAAAACATAGAAGCATCACAATCTTAAAGCTAAATATTGAATAATAGTTTCACAGCCCTTGGTCATAGTGGCAATTTTATCTTATAAATTTATTAAAATAAGTAGGACAGAAAAAATCCTTGATTGGCCTATGGATTTGGAATTCCAAATAAAGCACCATATTATTGTAATGGAAACAAGAAGCACCTGTGTTGTTTATAAGTTTGGGGGCTGGATTTAGTTTACCTTAGTCCCTTTCTGTTGAAGAGGTAGTCCTCCTTGGATAAACAGCATTGACATCTGAGAATTTATGAAAACACAGGCTCTCAGCCTCTAATGGAATCAGAACTAGAATCTGTGTTTTCAAAAGACCCCTAGGTGATTCATATTCACATAGGTTTGGGAAGCAGCTCTTCTTAACAGCAAGGAGTCTAAACTTGGATAAGAAATGCTCGTTTAGATGGGCCTCTTGGCCTACATAAAAGGTGGCCCTGCCAATCATTTCTTTTTTCTTTTACAGAAAGGAGAAAAAGCCAGTACTTTTGGGAAAAAAACAAAACAAAACAAAACAAAACAAAAACATAACCTCAGTACCCACAAGGCAAAGACAATGAATTCACCTGACCTTTGGAATCCCCCAGAAGTACAGTTCTGCTATGCTTCGGTTAACAATTCATGCCCTAGAAACGTGAGGTCTGTGCTGAGTGTCTTTGCCATGTACGTGGTCATGATCGGGGCTATTGTGATGACCATGCTGGGCAACATGGTTGTCATCATTTCCATCGCCCATTTCAAGCAGCTCCACTCCCCAACCAACTTCCTGATCCTCTCCATGGCCATCACGGACTTTTTGCTGAGCTGTGTGGTCATGCCCTTCAGCATGATTAGGTCCATCGAGTCCTGCTGGTACTTCGGAGACCTCTTTTGCAAAGTCCACAGCTGCTGTGACATCATGCTGTGCACCACCTCCATCTTTCACCTCTGCTTCATCTCAGTTGACCGCTACTACGCCGTGTGTGACCCGTTGCATTATGTCACCAAAATTACCTTCTCTGTCATACAGGTCTTTCTACTCATCAGTTGGTCCATCCCCATCTTTTTTGCCTTTGGCCTGGTATTCTCAGAATTAAACATAATTGGTGAGGAAGATTTTGTTGCAGCCATTGATTGCACAGGTTTGTGTGTTCTGATATTTAATAAACTCTGGGGGGTGCTGGCCTCCTTTATAACTTTATTTTTACCTGGGACAGTCATGGTGGGGATTTACATACACATTTTCAAAGTAGCCAGAAAACATGCTAAACAAACTGGAACGGGTCCTAGGACAAAGCAGGCTGAGTCAGAAAGCAAAGCAAAGTCCTCCAAAAAGGAAAGCAAGGCCACCAAGACCCTGAGCATAGTCATGGGAGTGTTCGTGCTGTGCTGGCTGCCCTTCTTTGTCCTGACAATCATCGACCCTTTCATTAACTTTACCACCCCTGAAGACCTGTACAATGTTTTCCTCTGGCTGGGCTATTTCAATTCTACTTTCAATCCCATTATATATGGCATGTTTTATCCTTGGTTTCGCAAGGCCTTGAGGATGATTGTCACAGGAGTAATCTTCCGCCCTGACTCGTCCACCGTAAGTCTGTTCCCTACGCATGCCTAGGCAATGCTCCTCATTTGCCAAGATGCTTTTCTGGTGGGGTGTCTTAGATGTTCTTTTTCCTCAAAGGTAGGGGCATGGACCACCTAAATAAGGAGATTCTTCCAGGTGGTATAATGGCACCTAAATAGAGCAAAAGACCTAGCCGTTGCAGAAACCCAAGCTACCAACATGGTCCATTTCTAGACTTCTGGAATAAAAACAAACTCTCTCCCAGCTTGCCAATTTCACATTTCCAAAGTTAGAGACTTAGCATTTCACTCTTTGACTTAAGACAAATAAAGATTTTTCTCACTTTTCAGCATCAGACAAGGAGACACAGCCAGTCTTCACAGTTATTGACAGCCATGTTTAACTGCATTTATCTAGATTTATCTCAAGATTATTATTGTTCAGTACAAGAGTGAGATTTTGAGCATATTGGAAATCTGAGTTATGGAGCATGTGAGTGATCGGGAAGGGGAGAAGGAAGTATACAGTTGTAGTTCCTTACAATTTTATTGGCTTAAACCTCTTTCAGAAATAATTGATGAGGCTTGCAAAATCTTGTTAAAATCGATGTGACCAAAACGGAGGAGAAAAACAAGTCTGTAAATGAGAAAAGAGGGAAATAGCTCCCCTCATTCAATGTTTTCTTATTAAATTTAGGAAAACTAGAGAGGAGAATACAAAATATTTAGAAAATATAAGAGAATGTTTATTGCGTAAGCCAAATACTGCCAATATTTGGCTCCTAATTACCCAGAGATGGAGGAAAAAGAGAGAGGAGGTCTGGATTTCTGGTTCTTTCTCTGGTTCCATCTTGTGAAGGCCGCTGGGTGAGACATTAGCAATCCTGAATCCCCCACACCTGCTGACAGATTTTTCTCATCTAGAAAATCAGTGATTTCTATTGTTTCCTTTGTAAAATGTCCTTACGCTAAAATATTGTATAATCCTACTTTGGGAAATCTTGTTTAAATCACAATGTCATGTCACATTGCAGAATCCCCATCAAGTGTTTTGAATGCCCATTTCAATAATGCACATTTTAGAATTTCTTTCTCAGAATCCACTTAGAATTATAATTCTGGTTTGTTCATTTCAATGAGCACTAAGTATATACATTATGTTTTTAAAAGAATATATTCTTCTTTCCTTTTGAAAATAATTTATACTTGAAAATACACAGGACATTATAATAACTGATAATTTTCTATATTTCATCATTTTATAATAATATCTTACCCTTAAATTTTTATCCTACAGTTAGACCTACTGTCTTTCTGGAAAGTCAGTACATGATTTCATATTGAAAAATAAACATCTTGCCACATGCTTGCTCAGAATTGAACCTAATGTTTCTCAGACACTTTTACTAGTGAAAGTACTAATACTGCTTCTGTGTTTTTCCTGAATATTTCCCTAGAGACCTCCAGTCACCTGGCTTCCTTATTTCTTGCTACCTTTTTAAAATGAATAATTGCTTATTTAGAAAAATTCTTTGTAAATTATCTGAATTCTCTGAAGCATAAATGCATAGATAAGTATAAATACAGATACGGCTGCTGACACAGATGTATCAGTCTATATACGCAGACAGACCATAAAGGAATGAATGCGTTTCAGAAACAATTAGAAGACATCTGTGAGCATTCAGAGAACTAGTCCTTACACAAATTACTTAACCATTCCCATGTCAGTAATGATCTTTAATGAAGTAAAAGTCTTACTTTGTCAATGAAGTCAGCAGAAATGTGTTTATTATAACTGATCTGATAACTGATCTGAGTGGAATGTCCCTGATGACATCTTATGGTTTGAGATAACCTTTACTCACTCTCTCTTTTGAGCGAGAATTAATCAAATGTTAAGCAAATGTTCTTAATTTTTGGTTTCATGAACTCTTTTCACACTAGTAAATACCAGGCACTACGTGTCTGAAAACGTTTTTTAAGTGGGAAACATTTTTAAAAATGTAGTCTTTAAAAAAATGATTTATTATCCTCATAATCTTGTTTATATTACCTTGAATTGCACATAATTTTACAGTGTATTACATTGCTTTTTCAAAAGGGAATGCCATGCATGTCAGTCAATAGAGAGACATTAAAATCCTCACTTCATCATTCAATACCTTTTCATTTCCCCCCCGATTATTATTATTATTATTACAATTATTTTTTTAACCAGTCAATCACTATTTCTCATTTTGCTTGTAAAAAGACTTTACCCATCATGAAGTATTTCTCAAACCAATCTAGTTGAGAATACTATACATGTTATCATCGACAGGTAATAAATCATATCTGTGTCCCACTAATGTCATGCCTCTCTTATTTGTTCTCTTGGTATCTTTCCCACTCTTCTCTTCACCTCCCTCATTTCACACTGTCTTATCCTCATCAAGTATTTTCAGTGCTTTTATGTTCTCCAATATTTTGTTCTCTACCATAGAGTTCAGATAGTTAGTATATATTAAGTGGATACATACAATATCTTTCTTTCATAGCCTGGCTTGCTTCACTCAGCAATAGATCCTCCATATATGACCACTCTCTATCAAATGTTAGGGTCTTGTCATTTTTTATGGCTGAGTAGTATTCCATAGGGTATATATGCTGCATTTTTTCCATCTATTCATTAGTTTGTGGACATTTAGGTTGGTTCCATGTCTTGGCAATTGTGAATAATGCTGCAATAAACATTGATGTGCAAGCACTTTTATGACTGAGTGTTCCCCTGTCCTTTGGATAGATACCCAGACGTTGGATTGCTGGATCAAATGGTAGTCCTATTTGTAGATCTTCGAGGAACCTCCATATTGTTCTCCACAGTGGCTGAATCAGTTTACATTCCCACCAACAGTGTAGGAGAGTTCCCTTTTCACCATATTCCCGCCAACTCTTATTACTTTTTATATTCTCCATCTTTGTCATTCTGACAGGTTTTTATCTGCATCTCCCTTATAATGAGGGATTTTGAGCATTTCATTAAATGCTTTTTGGCCGTTCATATGTCTTCCTTAGAGAGATTTTGGTTCAGCTTCTTTTCCCATCTTTTAATTGGGTTAATCTTTTTTTTTTCATAAGGCACTTGAGTTCCCTGTGTATTCTGGTTATGAGTCCCTTCTTCTGAGGCATATTTAACAAAATTATTTTCCCTTTCTAAGGGTTGTCAATTCACACTTGTTACTGTTTTCTTTGCTGTGCAGAAACTTCTTGGTCTGATATAGTCCCCTTGTCTATTTTAGGGATTATTGCATGTTCCTTGGGAATCTTATTTAAGAAGTCTTTGCCTACTCCAATGTCTCAGAGAGTTTCCCCAGCATTTTCCACAAGTACTTTTATTGTCTGAGGTCTTAGGTTCAGATCTTTGATCCATTTTGAGTTGACTGTTGTTAATGGTGAAAGATGGGGGTTCAGTTTCATCTTTCTGTAGGTGGATATTCAATTTTTCCAGCACCATTTACTAAAGAGGTTTTCCTTTTCCCAATAGATTGACTGATATCCTTGGTCAAAAATCAGTTGGCTGTAAGTTTGGGGGTTATTTAAAAAATGTAATCTTAAAGGTAAATTTATTATATTAAATATCTTGATCAAAATATCTTAGAAATAGCCAAATAGATAGTATAATCATGGGTATTTCTTTCTGAAAACTACAAATAACAAGATCTGATGTCAGGTAGTATAAAATGTTATGATTTCAAGAAAGTGATGAGTATAAATGAAATCACATAATATCTGTGACTATACTGCCATATAAAATATTCATTTTAATTCGTGACAAAAGCCTGAGGTAGCACCAATATGTGGGTTTTATCTACATGCAAAACAAAAAGGAGTGCTATAATTTCAGGTAGAGGTAAGTGAATATAAAAATAGAATAATTTCTCATAAGGTTTATAGACACTCTGGTATAAGAATTTCCTTTAAATGTGAACACCTGGGCACTCATCAGATGTGCAGGAAGATGGTAGCTGTAGGACCTCTCTGTTACCTTCTGACAGGCTGAAACCTCACCAGTGTTTATCTCTACCACGAGATGCCATTAACTTCACAAGCACGATCATTTCTCAGTGTTTTTGTGCTTGCTTAGCATTTTTTTCCCTTTGTCTTTTTTTTTTTTCAATAACCTTTTATTTTTAGGGGCAAGTAGATGGCATGGTTAATGCACTGGACTCATATATGGCCAACAGTGGTTCAAGTCCTGGACCTGGTGGTTTGCTTTTTCACTTTCCCTCTCTCTCTCTCACTGCTTCTCTCTGGTGTGCACATGTGCCCTGTAGCATATTGAAAAATAAACAAAATTAAATAATTTGTAAACAAAACAAAACAAAAAATTATTTCATAAAATTTATCAACACAGTTTCAAATTCCAGGATGAATTTCTCCTGATTTGTATAAACCTTGACAATTATTGTTTTCTCTAAACATCTCTCAACTTAATTATGTGTTTTCTTACAACTTAGTCAAACCACATCATAGGTCTTCACAGTGGCTGTGTGAGTGACTATGTAATACACGAAAGTGTATATATGCATATGTGGATGAATATAAGTAGATGACCTATAGGTCATCTATAGGGACTAGGGTTCTGAGCAAGGCAATTTCATAACAATGATTCATGTGAATTGCTTTTGAATATTTTCTGTTTTATGAAAGTAGTTTTAAAAGGATCATCAAGAACTAGGAAGGGACACTAAGCTGAGTGAGAAGATTGAGCCGTTTTTCCTTTGCAAAGTTTCACAGTTTGTATTGCTGGTCTCTGGATTTCTGATGACTGCAAAGTCAGACTGTAGAGGAAGTCTCTGATAAACAAGTGAGAAGAGGTTCCCTACCCTCAGTGCTGCTGTCACAGTTGGCACTGAGAGGTCTGTCTTCCAGATTCCCACCTGTATTTTATGCTCTCCACCCCTGCAGTTTCCCCTGCTCTTTATCCCCCTAGTAGGAGCCAATGTGCCCCATCCACTGACACTGGGCTTGACCTTGTGACTTGCTGTGATCAATTCAATGAATGTGGTG